CCGGGGGTGGGGGGTGGGGGCGGGAAGGAGAGCAGGGTGACACCTACTTGATAAACTGGCCCAGGTCTTCACACAGGGTCTCACAGCCAGGCCACTTGCACTCTCCGTGTCCATAGAGAGGGTGGGAACCAGGGGTCTCCTCATGGGAGGAGCTAGGGGAGGGGACGAAGGTGGTGGTCAGGGACCCTGAAGAAGCCAGCAGCCCAGCCCCAGCTCCCCTGCTGGTGGCGTGTCTGTCCTTAACACAGGTTTCCCAGAAACCTAGCATAATTCTGTGTGTCCTGGGAGAGAGATACACTCCCAGGTCCCTGGGCGCCCCTCCCTCCCAGCCCCCACACTGTATGCAATCCCCGGGGGCCCGGGGGTGTCCCGGTCTGCAGCACCCCTCCCTAACGTCCCAACAGTCCCAATACCTGTCTCTCCGAGGTGTGAGCACAGTGGGCTGTCCATTGGGCAAGGTGTGGTGGGAGAGCGGGGGTGAGACTTTGGGGGGTGCGGCAAACGAGGTAGCGGTGGTGGCCGTGCCAGTGAGGTCCAGCCCCTCCTGCTTGACACTGTCCTCAGCGGGCTGCCCGGGGGGACCCTCACCCTTCCACAGCTGGGGCAGGTCTGTTGGGCACACGGCTGCTGTGGGAGAGAGTGGGGAGAGGGGGCAGGGCCTCAGGGATACAGGAGCCTTTCCATCTCACCCCTGGAAGCCAGTGATGCCAGCCCTTGGGTGCACTGAGGGCTGCGGGCAGGGCGGGGGGGTGGGTAGGGAGGGGGAACCACTCACCTTGTGGAAGGGTCTGGAGGGGCCCCGAGGCTTGGCTGGGCTGCAGGCTGACCAGCCCCTGTCTCTGCAGGTTGAGCAGGTGCTGCTGCTGCAGCTGTTGCATTTGCAGGAGCTGCTGCTGGAAGGCCAGCTGCTTGTTCCCCAGAGCCTGGTGGGGGGCCCGAGGGGGTGCGCAGAGAGGGGTGCCATCAGCCTCTGGTGCACCGTCTGGCCCCCACCCTGCGGTCACCCCCTCCCAGGGCCTCTCAGCCCCCGGGGCTGTGGGTGCAGTGTCTGAGGCCCCTGCGTCTCTGCTCCCGGCCCAGCTTCCATAGGGCTGCATGCCTGCTCGCAGTAAACACACGCATGCACGCACGCACGCAGGCGCGCACACACAGCCACACCC